CCCGCGCTGATGCTGCAGCTGCTCCGCGCACCTCCCGCCCCGCTCCGCGCCGCCGCCGCCGCCGCCCTCAGCCTCTCCCCGCACGGTGAGTGGGGCCGCGGCCCCGAGCATCCCTGTCCCCGGCACCGGCACCCTCCCCGAGCACCCCCGTCCTGGGACCTGCACCGTCCCCGGGACAGGCACTGGCCCCGAGCATCCCTGTCCGCGGGACCCACGCTGTCCCCGGGACCAGCACCATCCTCGAGCATCCCTGTCCTGGGACCAGCACCGTCCCCGCGATTGGCACCATCCTTGAGCATCCCTGTCCCCGGGACCAGGACTGTCCCCAGGCATCCCTGTCCTGGGACCAGCACCATCCCCGGGATTGGCACCATCCTTGAGCATCCCTGTCCCCGGGACCGGGACTGTCCCCGAGCATCCCTGTCCTGGGACCAGCACCGTCCCCATGACCAGCACTGTCCCCAGGCATCCCTGTCCTGGGACCAGCACCATCCCCGGGATTGGCACCATCCTTGAGCATCCCTGTCCCCGGGACCGGGACTGTCCCCGAGCATCCCTGTCCTGGGACCAGCACCGTCCCCATGACCAGCACTGTCCCCAGGCATCACTCTCCCCGGGACCGGCACTGTCCGGTGCTCTCGCTGGCTCTCGGGACTCGGGGTGGATGTGGCTGTTTTCCCCCCAACCTTTGGGTTCCCACGGCAGGGATCGTGCCCCGTCAGCACGCCAGGGCACCGTTCCCTCCGGTGCTGGCACTCCCCGGCAAAGCCGGCGGTGCCCTCACCGTGCCCCTTGGGTTTCAGGCTCCCTGCAGAACGGCTCCCGCTGGGCGCTCTCCTTCGACATGTCCTCCCTCTCCAGCAGCCAGGAGGCCGGCAGTGCCGGGGTGGCAGGACCTGCACCCACCAGCTCTTCCTGGGCACCGTGGCTGGCAGCCCTTCATCCACTCAGGCCTCCTGGAAAGTGTTTGAGGTCACCAGCCTGCTCCAGTCCTGGCTCCACCAAGCCGTGGCCCCTGGGCACCGTGGTCCCACGGGAAGGGAGTGGTCGGAGGCGAGTGGGTCGGCCGCCCCGGCCACCATCACCACACACTTGCCCACTCTGAGCGACGCTGGCCATGGGGAGCCAGCCCTGCCCCAGGACGTGACGGACAGAGTCCTGCTGCTCATCTTCTCCAGGGACAAGTCTCCAGGAGACCACAGCCTCATCAGGACAGCGGAGACCTCCAAACACGTAATGCGTGACAGCAGCTCCCAGGGCGCGGGGACCCGCCGGCACCGCAGGAACAGAAAGGAGAAGCAAAGGATCAAAGTGAGCGAGGCTGCCGCTGCCGTCCCGGGGGAGGAGGGCAGGTCCTTGTGCAGGAGGGTGGACATGATGGTGGATTTTGAGCAGACCGGCTGGGGCAGCTGGATCGTCTACCCCAAAAAATACAACGCCTACCGGTGCGAAGGGCAGTGTCCGTCACCCGTGGATGAGACCTTCAAGCCCACCAACCACGCTTACATTCAGGTAAGAGGGGGTTGCTGCCTCCACTCCCCCTGGGCACCCCAGCCCCGCCGGCCCACGGCAGCGGAGTGATGCTTTGCCCTTCCCGTGTCTCCCCACAGAGTTTGCTGCAGCTCTACAAACCCAACCAGGTGCCCTGCCCTGCCTGCTCCCCGGTCAGGATGAGTCCCCTCTCCATGCTCTACTACGAGAAGGGCGAGATCGTCGTCCGCCACCACGAGGACATGATCATCGAGGAGTGCGGCTGCAACTGAGGCCAGCTCATCCCCCGCCGGGAAGGGGCACATCTCTGCGCAGAAGGTGCCCTGAGGACTGTCCTCCCAACCCACGCCCCACGCGCAGACCGAGGCACGGCTGAGCCCCCATCACCTCCGAATCCCACATGCGCGTGGGTCGGTGAAGCTCTGGCTGTGCCAGGAGAGGAGGAGTGGGGTGCTCGGGCGCTAGCGGCTCTGCAGCACCGCATGGCCGCCGGGCATGGATGGACCCAGGCTCCGCGCGGGGAAAGCCATCAGACACCTCACTGCAGCACCGAGTGGTGGGTGCATTTAGCCGGGATCTGCGGTGCTGGCGGCTGCTGTGCGCCGGGCCA